CGCCTGCTGTGCGCAGCGTGGACGGGGTGTTCGAGGTGGCCCTCTACTGCAACGTGCTCGTGTCCCCCGACGGCTGTGTGTACTGGCTGCCGCCCGCCATCTTCCGCTCTGCCTGCCCGGTCTCCGTCACCTACTTCCCCTTCGACTGGCAGAACTGCTCGCTCGTCTTCCAGTGAGACCCTTTATGGGGGGAGGGCTGTCACCCCAGAGGGACCCAAGCTGGGGGTGCAGGACTCAAGACTTCTGGCCAGCGGCCTGGCCCATCTCAGGCCCAAACACCTGAAGATGCCCCGGCCCTCCCCCCTGCTCCTTCTCAGCCTCAGTTTCCCTGCCTCTGTCCCCAGGGGAGAAACAAATGTCAGGGTGCCTGGGTGGGAAGGCTTAAACTTGCCTGCATGCGCGCACACGTGTGCCACACTCGCACAGACCACCCCAACCTACTCACGCTCCGAGCGGGCCGCGGGGTTGTGGGGAAGAGGGTCTGTGAGGTCTGCCCCCCTTTAGAGGGGCCGGCTTTCTTCCAGGGGCCTGGCAGGGGAACCCTGCTTAAGAACAGACCCGGAAGGTGATGGCTGGCTCCTCTGTTCTTTTTTTTTTTTAAGATTTATTTATTTGTGCATAAGGAACTGAGGTGCAGGCCAGAGGTGCAGGCAGTGAGAGGATTCACCAGAGACAGTGGGGAGCAGAACAGGCAGATTGAGGAAGTACAGTGCTGAGGGGGGCAGTGGGCGGGTCAGGAGGGTCCGCTGCGCCCTGTGGGCCACTGCCTGCTCGCAGTGCTGAGGGCCGCCTCTGTGTTCTAACCATTGAGCCTTCCTGCCCTCTGGGCAGTGGGAGGGAGAACACAGAGGCCCCCAGCTCTTGCAGTCTCCTTGAGCCCCCCAACTTGCCATCTGGGTTTTGCAAACAACTCAGAAAAAACTGCCCCCAGTCGGTCCCAGTGAGCACCTGGGGGCCCTCCTGGGTGGAACCCCCCACACTGGAAGGAACCCCACCCGCTTCCCTGGCTCCCCCAGGTCCCAGACCTACAGCACCAGCGAGATCAACCTGCATCTCAGCCAGGAAGCGGGTCAGACCATCGAGTGGATTTTTATCGACCCTGAGGCCTTCACAGGTAGCCTCTCCCAACCCAGCTGGACCTGGCTGCGGGGCGGGGCCAGGCCACTGCCATGGCCTGTCCAGGCCGCCAGAGGGGAACCCTCTAGGAAACCAGAAGACGTTTACTTCAAGGCCCAGCTGAGTCCTGATTTTCCCCACCATGACGCCAGTTTGGGTGGGAGGGGGGGCCCCCGGCTCCCCACTCCAAGCGGGGCAGGAAGCAGGGCCTCGACGACCCACACTCCCTGGCCCACGGGCCTGCGCCCGCAGAGAACGGGGAGTGGGCCATCCGCCACCGGCCGGCCAGGATGCTGCTGGACGCGGCGCCCGCGGCCGCCGGCCACCAGAAGGTGGTGTTCCACCTGCTCATCCAGCGCAAGCCCCTCTTCTACGTCATCAACATCATCGCGCCCTGCGTGCTCATCTCCTCGGTCGCCATCCTCATCTACTTCCTGCCTGCCAAGGGTACGGGCCGGCGGGCGGCGGGCTCCTGGGCAGCGGCTGGGCCGGGCAGGGAGGCGGAGGGCGGCTTAGGGACACTGGGTCGCCGCAGCCGGCGGTCAGAAGTGCACCGTGGCCGTGAACGTGCTGCTGGCGCAGACGGTCTTCCTCTTCCTGGTGGCCAAGAAGGTGCCTGAGACCTCGCAGGCGGTGCCGCTCATCAGCAAGTAAGGCTGCTCTGGCCGCTGCCCGCCTCCCCCCCCTCGAGAACCCGGGCACACCGCCTGCCATCGCCCACCGGCGCGACCCTCGGTGCCCCCGGGGTGGTGCAGGGGGGTCTGGGCATTCCGCAGAGGGCCAGCCCCCCCCCAATTCTGCCTGACAGGTACCTGACCTTCCTCCTGGCGGTGACCATCCTCATTGTCGTGAACGCTGTGGTGGTGCTCAACGTGTCCTTGAGGTCCCCACACACGCACTCCATGGCCCGTGGGGTCCGAAAGGCAAGGCCGGCCCCTCCCGCCACCGGCGTCTTCCTGCCCGGTCCACTCACACGCTGCTCCCTCCACTGCCAGGCCTGCCTCAGCTGCCAGCAGCCTGCCCCGGCTGATAATGCCATGGCACTGGGGGGCACGGGTGCCGCTGTGTACTAACTTATTTGATCTTTGTATTTCACCCCTGTGAAGTGGGTATTAGTATCATCTCCATTTTATCGGTGAGACGGAGGCCCAGAGAGGGTGAGTGGCTTGCCCAAGTCACTCGCTAGAAAGTGAAGGCGGCAGGGTTCTTCCCAGGTGGTTCTGGCCTAAGCTGTGTGTCCTGCAACCCACCTACAGCAGCCAGCGGGGGTCCCGGGCACAAATGCACGTCCCCAGGCCTCCCGGGTACCCTAGGCTGCAAGAGCAGGGCGGAGGCCTGGGAATCTGTACTGAGCAAGTTCCTGGTGATTCTGATATGCACAAAAGCTTGGGGACCCAGTCTCAGCCCCCGGCACAGAACAGCCCAGCTGTGCCAGGCCAAGCCACTGCCCCCACTGCGGTGCTTCTGGCCCTTCATGCCATTCTTGCCCTGTGCTCTGAGGCCTGGCCTGGCTGCCCCCGTGCCCAGGACCTGGCTGATCTAAGTCCTCCAGGACACCCCTCCTGCAGGTGTTCCTGCGGCTCCTGCCTCAGCTGCTGCGGATGCACATGCGCCCTCCAGCCCCCGTGCCGGTGCAGGACGCCCGGCCCCAGCTACAGGGTGGCTCCGGGCAGGCGGTCACAGCGGGGACGGACCTGGCCTTCCGCCTGCCTCGCAGTGAGCTCCTCTTTCAGCAGCGGCAACGCAACGGGCTGGTGAGGGCAGCGCTGGAGAAGCTGGGTGAGTGGGGCAGGCAACCCTCCTCCCCAGGACTGCAACGGGAGGGCAGTCGGCCGGCCACAGTGCCAGGCAGGCAGAGCAGAGAGTGCTGGGCAAGGGCCTCCCTATGGAGGCCCCTTCTCTGCCTGTTCCTCGTCCATCCTCTGTCCCAACCGCCCTCCTCTCACCAGAGAAAGGCCTGGAGCCGGACCATAGCCAGGAGCTGTGTGGTAGCCTGAAGCAGGCTGCCCCTGCCATCCAGGCCTGCGTGGAAGCCTGCAACCTCATTGCCCGTGCCCGCCGCCAGCAGAGCCACTTTGACAGTGTAAGCCCACTGGTGGTGGGCCATGGGATGGGAGGGACACGGTGCGGAGGCAGGGGACCGGTGGGGGGAGGCAGCAAGTAGGTGAGATGGGCCCAAGGAAACTGTCCAGGGACTCGGCAGGATCGGGGCCGTGGCCGCTCACCCCACACCCCGCTTCCTGCCCCCAGGGGAGCGAGGAATGGTTCCTGGTGGGCCGTGTGTTGGACCGTGTCTGCTTCCTGGTCATGCTCTCGCTCTTCGTCTGTGGCACTGCGGGCATCTTCCTCCTGGCCCACTACAACCGGGTACCAGCCCTGCCATTCCCTGGAGATCCCCGCCCCTACCTGCCCCTGCCAGACTGAGCCGCCAGGGGGAGCCTTGGCTGTGCGGCTGTTGTGCCTGTACCTGGGGAAATAAAGGAGAATGGGCTGCAGTTCTAGAGTGACTGGGAATGGGCTGTGTGGGCAGGTGGGTGTTGGTGGCCCCCGGCTTCCCTTCCTGGCTCTTTCCACCTCAGCAAAGCATTATCAGCACACATCATCTAAGAAGCTCGAAGGACTAGTGTGATGCCCCCAGCTAGGTGGGGCCTATCCCTCCAGGTTCCTGAAGGAGAGTCAAGACAGGTGTGGAGGACAGCAGCCAATCTGGCTGGCATCTCCTGCCCCTGCACTCATGGGTGCTCCAAACACCTAACACCTATACCTGTGACCCTTCCATCCACAGCCTTTTTTTTTTTGTGGCATTGGCCACAAAAGAGTCCATGAATCTTATCTATCATTCCCCCTCCCCCCAATTAAAAGCTCTTCACAGAACTATGGCTAAGCAAGAAACCCCATTCCCTCAGGTTTCAGGCTGGTGTGTCCTCTCTTCTTGTTCTTCGCAGAACACTGGAGACTATGGACTGGAATCCAGATTCCCCAACTCTGACCCAGCCTTAGATACTCTAAGGGAGATTCTGTGACCTGCAAAATAGACCCCTCTTCTCTCCCCAACTCTGACCCAG